ACCGCATGCCTTCTAGATTAAATTTTCATTTCTCCTGAGAATGATGAATGCCGTTGAAACGGAAGTTTGCCGAGGATCATCCCAGCAGGTATTTAATAAGATTCAAAACCCCATGAAGAATGTTTACTGCGCAATAAATCCACATTTTCCGCTCTATTTTGGCGTGAAATTGAAGGGGAAATTTTTAAAGCTTTTACGACCGGCAGCTATCAAACCTCAAAAAGCAATCCAGAGAGAAAAATCTGAAAGGATTTTTCCTATCTTCATTCCAAAAATACGCATCCCATTTGGAAGATTTGCAGTAGTATATTGAGAGCGATCAGCCATCAAAATTTAATCTTTCTCAGTGTCTCCGCAATACAAAATCTAAATCAAAAGACTTCCGAAGTCGAGGATTTCAACAGATATCCAAGATGTGTTCATTACAGTATATGTATGCATGTGAACCTCATTTGGGAATATAAACACGTGATTAAAATGTCCGCTCGAGGATGCATGATGAGCATCACTAAAATTGTCAGGGCTCAAGTATTATAAATACGCAAGTAAAAGGAAGAGAAGTCGTTGGTTTTCTTTTGTTGATTTCCCCACGAAATCAAGATGAGGTCCTTACTGTGACTGTATTCACCTGCTGAATGGGTCAGTCATTTTCTGACAATGACGCCTTCCGGCTCAGAGATGATCCACGTGCTTAAAACCGAGATTCAGCGTCTAAATCCCTTCTGTTCTTCCCCCGCCATTGCTTTATATAGTCCCTGTTGAGCTTCGGAACTGCTGCTCATCACAAAACTTCTCCGTTTCCGGCGGAAATTCAGGAATCGCGCTTTTTGAAGGTGTACGACCACAACAGCACTTTCCAGGGTGAAATCAGTCCTGAATATATCCCTGGAAAAGCCTTGAAGCTGTTGAGGAACCTAACAAAAAAATCATATGATAAAAATACAATTGGGACAAACAAAACGCAGGCAATCAGCCAGTTTGCCAATGAGGACATGTATATTACAAATTTTAAGGTGTAGAAATACATTCCAGATGCAAGAGACATCTGAGTGCTGAGGCAGTTACCCATGCAGTCTCCAAGGGATTTTAAGTTAGAGTGCAAATCTACATTTATGGCTGCAAAAATGAAGGAAGCTGGAGCATCCTCACTCCTCAGATGTTAAAAGAAGATTTCATAATTGTCTATTCACAAGTTGCATAAAGACAACAATCACATACACAATCAGCAAATCAAATCTCCTTTTGTGGAGTAATAACTTTCTTCTAAAAGAAATAAAATCAGCAAAGAAAACATGCTTTGCATTTGGCACAACACAGAATGCTGAATAAATGAATTATTTCAAGTTTTTTTATTCTGCAAAATCTTTATTGAAGCCAGCAACCTTACCAATTTTTTCAATTCCACTGTATACAGTGGATGCTCCATTGGTTCTTTTCTCACTTTTTGCAAAAAAATGAGAACGTTTTTAAATATCTGCCAGCATATAAATAAGTCTTTAAAAACGTTTTTAGTCTGCAATGTTTTCATGAAATTTTGCTGGTCCGCAGAAAATTTTGAGAAAATTTGCTGGTCCACCGACCCAAAAAGGTTGGGTAACACTGGTTTATAGATTCTAGAGGAAAGAAAAAATCCATGGTTCTCCTACACCGGCATCCAACAGAGTCGCCACTTTTGCACTCACGCGTGGGCGCTTCTCTATAGCGGGTGTCAATATACATGGCTTTCGGCTCTGGAAAATATTCTTGCGTCATACCCGAATGGCAACTTCTAAACCAAGACTAGTACATACATTTCATGCTAGGTTTCTCAAAGTTTCTATTACCTTTCTCCTTCCTGGTCATGCTGTGCAGATGTAAAGTAAGTTTGGAATGTTTCGCACTGCCAGGTCCTTCCAAGTTGATCGTTTATCGCTCCTTCACTTATTTCGCGTCATTTTCTTCTAATGCTTATTCAGTAGTTTTTGTTTTGTTTTTTTAAAGCGCCTTTTACATATCAAAGANTTTGGCGATAGAATTCTTCGTCTGCTATGAAGATCGCAATGTCAACCATGAGTAAGAAATTTCTACAGGATTAACCCGTTTTGAGTCTCTTCGAGAAAATACCGAAAGGAAAACCTGACCCAAATTTTCGGGGCACGATCCGACCCTCGTCTTTATTTCTCTCATCTTTCAGAATACCCCAACGTCGGTCGAAATCTTACATTTGCGTTTTTGGGCATGAAGAGAAAACAAACCCGGGTATTCCGGGCATATGATCATGGATGGTGATATCGGGTCGACAGATTCCACCGCAAGATTCCATTTTCGCTGAGGAAAAAGTCGACCTAGTACAATTTATGGAATGCCGAAACTGTTGAAGAAAACTAATAATTGATGAATAATTGAATATTTTCCAGCGCTCGCATATACACCATGTATCGATTTTTAAGGCAAAAATTCAAAACCAGGATTTTTCCTTCGAATTTCCTGTAGCGAAAGCGGGAGAAACAATATTCTCGACGAGAGGTCAATCAAAAATGGACACTGTGATTTAGAAGAGAATATTGTATAATGTGAGATTAATTTGTTTGAACTCTTATTTCACTCTTTAATACTCTAAATGGTTATAAATCTGGAAAGAAAAATGACGAATATACGTACTAGCTCCTCTTCCAATATGCTAAAATAAATGAACCCCTCGAGCGTTCGCAGAACGACCCTTGAAAGAGCCACACAAAAAAAAGAGTCTGTGAACTGAAAATTCTTTCAAAAATATTCCATTATTATTACGACTCAAAATACAGTAATCTTGCCCTTTGTATGTCAAAAAAATTCTCCCCAGTCGCAGTAATTTTCAAGTGCACTATATTTACTCAAGTCAGGACTCAAGATGAGATGATTATATATACTGTAGTTTCAAAAATCCGCCTACGAAGCGTACTTGCTTTCTCTGACGTCCGTGGCATTCAAAAACCTGAGGGAACCGGACATTTTCGGCAGATTTATAGCGAAGAAACTGGAGAAAAGCAAAACCAGCACGTTTTACACGGAATACGTTCCCAGGCATTGTGTTGAGACCCTCAACGATGACGTAAATTTGTGGGGAGCTGGTGTGGGCGGGTTTTTGCGAGCGAGGCAAAAATAGGAGGAGGTGGAGAAGGAGGAAAACCCATCCCCGCAGCTTTCTTGAATATTTCACAACGTTTGTTCATGTAAAACCGCGGATATACGTGAAAGAAAGGTATTGTATGGAATAAATGAGAAAGGAGAAGGAGTTGATCAACCCGAATTCGTTTGAATGATGGAAACGTCCACCTCTTCCGTGTGGATCTCGCATTGTATTTTTATGTTCAGGTTCTGAATACATCACAAGCCTTGTGCATTCTTCATTCCCTGACGAGTTTTCGTATGCCCATACACGCATTGCATGACTGGGGATTTGCCTTGGTTTGTTAAAATTACGTTGAGGACAATGGATTGCGCTGAAATGACAATACGAGTATTATATGTTCCGATGGAAAAGGATTTTTCATTAATATATTATTTTTTTAATTTTAGGAGAGCTTGAGACATCAAGGGAAGAGTTCAGATCGAGTAATACTTTCTCTCTCATGAAACAAAAAATAGGGAACTCATTCACAAAGACAAGGAGTCTTGAATGACTTATATACGCATTGCCGAAAACGCAGCTATACTCGAAAAATTAAAATTCTCGCGATCTATCAGCAAATAATTTCTAGTGCCTAATCAAATTTCAATTCAATCAAAATCAACGTCTTTTGCATAAAAGGGATCTTGATTGCTGGCGAATATCCAAAATATTTCGAAGCGAAAGATGATTTTTAAAATGTGTTCTGAAACAGTGCATAACGAATCGAAATTTGCCGCTGAACAGTAAAGGTTCAGGGGTAAATTAAAAACGCAAATTCAAAATTTAAATTTACTTAAGGACCAATACAACAAGGATCAGATCATCCTTCAAAACGAAAAAAATACCATTCCAAGTCTATGTTTAAAGTGGCCGATAATGACGAAGCAGCTTTCATTCATGGATTCGCAAAACCAATTGTAACAAAATTATGCAATAGCTGTTCCTGCTTTTTTTTCTGGAAAAAGAGGTGTACGTTCCCGGTTAGACACTCATTCTGATGAATGTATATACTCGAAATATGGGCCATTGCAATTATATGGTAATAACTGCATGCATGTCTTGGGCTTCGACAAGAGTATCTGCAATTAGGAGTTTGAAAATCCCTAAAAAGCTAGGAAAAACGAGCGAAGACAAAAACTAAACACGATATCTCTTAATTATTGAAAAACCGCCATGACTACTTGAAAATTCCTAAAAATCAGGGTTCATCGTGTACAAAGGTTTTTCTTTCCTTTCTTCCGTCACAAATTTCCTTTGATTTCCATCAATCTAAAATCGATCAGCTGCGAAAATGTACGCGTAAATGCCTTTATTTTCAACCTGAACGAGTTTCGGCCGTTTTGCCGTATATTTATGTATTTTGAAGTCCATGCATCGTTTTTCTTCATGCCTGGTAAATTTAAGAAATGTAAATACTGTAATGAATCTCTCTATTTTACACGTTCTTTCAGGAATCTCAGCCCGAGTTCCCCGGCTAATCTACGGGCTATAAATTTGATTTTTAAGTCAACAATTATTATCTTTTGGGGGTCATTTCTCGCACGAGGCACGAAGCAACTGAAATCCTAGTTGTAATCAGAACAATCAGGGCCCCATTCATCACACTAAATTCCACATTCAACAACAACCATCGTGCGCCAAGTAAAAAGAAAGCACTGTACAATACTCTATAGCCAGCAAACGTGTTGTCTTCATTCAATCACAATAAGCGAACTTATATTGAAAACTGCAGCTATACAATATCACGATACACTGATCTGTGGAGCGTCTGGAGCAGCAGCAGCATCAGTTGCCACAGTTTCTGTCATCCCCACAATCTTCATTCAATCACAATAAGCGAACTTATATTGAAAACTGCAGCTATACAATATCACGATACACTGATCTGTGGAGCGTCTGTAGCAGCAGCAGCATCAGTTGCCTCAGTTTCCGTCATCCCCACATGTTGCACCGGCTCATTAACTCCATTGCTAGATCCCGTATTTGGGACAGAGGCTTCTAGCTTACTTCTTCTTCTTATTCTTCGCAATCTCCGAAGCCTGTGCCGCAGGGCACGGTGACCCACCACCAGGACGCTGCACGTCGGCAGCAAGACGAATGCGTGGAGCGCAGTCAGGGCGAGCAACGCCAGGAACAGGGAATGACGTCCTTCCGCCTGCGACTCCTTCCAGACCGGAAAACATCCCTGATTTATACGAAGCCGGAAGTGGATTGCAACGTTCATTTGCGTGTTAAATTCACATTAGGGGGTTTAATGGACAACGTTGATTATGAGAAATTAAACAGGGTATAAGATAACTTGACGCTCGTCAGCAGTTTGGAAAGAAGGGCTGCTAGAAAAAAATTGTAAATTTTATTGAAACAAGTATCAGTGTTCTTTGCAATTTTTTTGATCATTAATACAATTTCGTACTTTCAAACTCGTTGATTATGTTGCGAGAAATTTTTTATCTGGAACTGATTGAGAGTCGTAAGGTTTTTTCATGAGAAATTCTGTCATGATAATACTGAATCCTCCTCGAAATTAAATTTTCAATTTTATTGTCAAGTATGTGGAACTTGGAATTAATAAAAGTATATTTATTTGTTCTGCTCTATAAAACTTAACAACTTCAGATAACTCGTTATTATAGATCACAGGAAAAAAGTGCAAGTTATAAAAAGGAAAGGTATATTGAAACACCTATAGCAGTCAGTCAAGTTCTTATTTTCATGAAATTTACTGATGAACTATAAAAAGCTCATTCGTTGTGATGCTGCTGAATTTAGAGGGTTCAAACACAATCCTAAAATAATAAATGAAGCCATTCATTCAACCACTGTAAATTATTTTCGTTGCCCAGTGATTTAAAAACGAAAATGAGAAATTAAATCGTGATGAGAAATGCCCCGGAATATTCTGGATAATTTATTTTCTTGAAGCAATCTTGAAGATCATGAACAATTAAATTAATATGCAGATTAGTATGAGTCCCAGGAAAATCGTTGTTTCGATTCTCTCGCATTAGCAATCTGACTATTGATCGTTTAAAAAAATTAAAAACCTTTGGATGTGGGTCGCACAAGGACCAAACAGAATTTTCCGGAATTCGCATGATTTGTAGAACAATTGGCGCGTTTCTGGTGTCCTTAAAAGGACGATGCATGACATTTACTGTGCTTCTGATCTTCCGTGACGTTTCATTTCCATTTTTTCTTTGCTTTGAAATCGAAGGAGAGATTTTCTCCGGTGAACAACAAGACTTTGGGACAATCATCGGTCCAGTAGCATTCCAATCGTCGCTAGATTTCACGCCTTTGAACAAGTTCATCAAATCTGAAATGTTGGGAGTTTGCCACAATGCTGGGTCACCACGGACAACACTCAGCCAATCTCCAGGTGACCTGATGTGAAAGCGGAAAATATTAGCTTGAAATCACGCTAGGCTGAACTTTTTAAAATGAATTCGATGGGAGTCTGACCGTCTTGTTCAGTTAGATTTTCTTCAATTTCATCAAATAAAGTTGAAACTCTCTAAGTCAAACTTCAAGGGACCAGAAAAAAATTTGAATAAGGGAGGTTTTGAATTTATCTACAATAAAAAGCCCTTTTGTGTTGGGAAACATATAAAAATTGCTCAAAATTGTGAATTGTAATCTTCTGAGGATGAAATTACTTCTTAAATGAGTTGAAAGCATCCTGAACTTGGAGGCAGGGTTCATTTGCCCGATTAAGTCTGTCGCCTCATTTTAAAGCAAATCAATTTATGTTTAATTGCATTTTTTCTTTCCTGTGTCAAGAAAATAAAAGCCAACAGGCCGCAGAAAATTCAACTTATGGAGGTTTGAGGGGAAAAGCCTTCAACTTAGGGAGGTTTTAAATGCATTAGTTCTAAGGGGATTCAGACAGGACCTAAAAAAAATTCGACTTAGGGAGGTTCGAGTTATCGAGGTTCAACCGTATTTCAAGCAGAACAATTTAATCGCCTGGTTCAGTGGACAGAACATTTCGAAAGACTTTATTTATAACTTTTCCGGCGCTTTTCTTTTTTCGAGTGCTCAACTGATTTTTTTTTAAGGTTGGATGAAAAGGGGAAAAAATTAATCACCAATATACCTCACATTTCCTTTCTGTAATTATAAGCGTAATTTTAGAGTTGGTGACTTTTTCATCACAAAAGATCTCGTCGGATAAGTGTTTTGAACATTTTTCCGGCCCCTTGATTGATATCCATGAAGTTTAAAAAAAAGTCCAAACTCTTCTTCCGTGATGTTTCTTCAACTGCAACAGTTTACAAGTACTGTATATACTGTATATCTATAATGGATATTGGGTAAATATTTTTGTCTCAAAAACTGAAATACTGCACTGTGCTCTAAAAAATATGTTTTACATGCCTCAATTCTTGCATCATAAGAGAGCTGAGGATCAGGTTAAAATTTGAGGGAAAGCTTCAGCTATATAAATGAAAAAGGTATAAAAATAAATCAGTCATTGGTGTAGCGTTTTTTTCATGCTGTGAAAGGAAATTGAATACACAGCCTATGGATGTAGTACAGGGATTCTAAATTTTAAAGAAATAATTGGAATGGCATTCCATTATATCTCACTCAACCCCGCAACAACGAAGCTGCGTTTGCACAATGTCCAAACCGGCGTTGAGCTCCGGATGTTTGAAAGAATATTCCCGAACAGCATTTTGCAGGGCCACCATCACCGGTGCGTGGGTTTCGTACATCCAGTAAATTCCGGAAATGGTGAAACTCAGCAACAGCAACGTAGAGAACATCAAATTGCATAACAACAGGTGTCTGTTGAGCAGCAACACTCCCAAAAATCCTGACCCGGAAACGATGTGAGAATAGCAAAAAAATTTTCTTTCCTGATACGGGAAGAATGAAATCGACAAGGCAATAATACACTTGAACTCATTGTATAACGAAATTCAAGGGACCAGGAAAAAATAAACAAACCCCCAGGCCAGGGCACAATTAGCCTGGGGAAGGTTACTACTTACTTAACTCAATTCTCTTTACTGTGAATAAATGTATTGTACAAAGAATTTTGAATGGGGAGAAAACACCGTGTGACAAAAAAAAAGAAGTTCAAAAACATTGTAGAGAGTCCAACATTACTGGGGTTGGATGTTGAAACAGTAGACATTTAGCTAAATGTTCCTCCAATTTTAACGCATTTCTCAACTCTCTTGACAATGAAATATAAAAAGGGGGAATTCAGCTACTCACTCAACTCATATCTTCAACTTCTATCCAGAAAAAAAACGATGTCTCAGAGTAATTCCTATACAGTACTGTACTTATTTTGTGGTTTAAGTGTTATACTCAGAACCAAGAAAAGCGGCCCAATACATTATAGTCATTCATTTACTCTGAAGTATGAGACGTGTTTTAGATTGCTGCAAAAGTTATGAGAAGATTTTTGAAAGATTTTTTGAATTTTTGAAATGTATCTTCCTTCTTCATTCTTTTGCAGCATAGCTGATGCATGAAGACAACGAAAAAGCGCCTGAAAAATAACCCCTGTGAGCCGTTTCCATTTTGAGAAAAATCTGTTTTCTAATCTTTACATTTAACTAGTTGAATGCTTTTTCCGTTCGCAGCACTCTTCACGGCAGGAGTGGGATCTTAAGCCACTTTTCTGAGGAATTCACTCAGGAGATGAAAATATATGCACTCCAAAATCTATGCTTGAAGATCTCTATACATAAGCTCTCAGTTTGCTCTCTATATGGCATCATAACTGTTTCACCAGCAGCAGTGCGTCATTCATTCTTCCGCGTATAGGTATTGATGAAATTCGAATGTTGTGGAGCAAAACCAACCAGGTCTTGATAGTATGCATTATTCTGCATCATGACCTTTTGCAAAAAAATCCGGCAGCATTTCATTTTCTTGCGTTATTCATGAAATCTAGGAAACACGCGAAGGGACTTCCCCGATAAACGTACCTGCCAATCCAACGCAAGCACTGAAAACTCCCATGATCCCACTCATGACAATGTTTCCATTCAGGGCTGAATTTTTCACAAATAATCCCATAATTGCGTCAGGAACGACATCGTTTCCTTTTTTCATCCGGGATTTGATTGCCAGGGCAATTAAAAATCCGGATATTGAAATTATTCCAGCATTCATGGCGGCCAGGAGGCATCTTTGCAAAATAAAGCGGGCCTTGCGAAATTTCCTTCTATTGCTGTTGCTGCTGGTGTTGTGCGTAGAAGAGCGGATGGATTGTTCTTCGGTATTTTCCGTGTTGGGCTGAAATCGATTAGAATCGTTCTTCAGCGCAGAAGTTTTCCCGGAGACTGATGAAGGTTTTCTCAATTTTTCCAGCACTGGATTAGACGAACTGCTCATCTGCGAATTTCGGTGTAAGGTTCAACGCTAATCCCGGTTGACATTGTTGTCGGATTATTTGGGATGGAAGAAATCCTACTTGATCTTGGAAGTTTTCTTTGCCTGTTGATGATTTACGTGTCTTGTTTTTAGGCGGTCATGTGGATAAGTATCAGCCTAGAAATCCTTTGATTGAATTTTCCTGAGTCAGAAAATCTAGGTTGTTTTGCAGAGCTCCTGAACTGTCTTGCTAGTGATATCCAACTTGCTGAGGCAGACGCAATATTTTCTTGTTGCAGCGATTCATGGAAGAATAATTAATATAATTACGCTCGCAAATTACGGAATTCCATTACAATTGCTTCATAGGAAACCTCGAATGATTTTTACAAACAGTTTGAACATCAAATTCGCACGCTCTAGTATCTTGGCAATGATCTCATTTTGTTCTGCATTCTTTGAAAAAAATTTAGCAGTTTCTTCAAGAGCTAATTATTCACCACGGCAGCACATTCGAACATCTCCACATTTCAATCTTGTACAGCAATAATTTAGCAAACTCACAGACCTTATTTTGCAAGAAGCGCTCTGAATGGTTATGCTTGAGTAATTTTGAGTAAACTTTGAGAAATCACGAACCTTTAGCATAGGAAACTGGAAACATGTAGTAAATCAATGCGTTCAGCACCAACCAATCATCAATCCGACGAGGTAAAATGAATCCACAGATGAATTGGTAAAGGTGTCTTGTATTTTTTCCGCTCTTTGACGAATCCTCAACAGAGATTACATCGATGAATTAAAAAAAACATTTTACACGACTAGAATTTCATCCTCTCAACCCTCAAAACTTGAAAATGTAAACGTATTCAAAAACGGAACAATGAAAAATATCAACAAGAAAAATATTTCCGCGACACTCGAATTGATATGAAAAAAAAACGAACCTTTTCCCGGACGCATGAATCATTTCAGAAGTATTTTTGCATCTTAAACGAAGCCACAGCCAAACTTGAACATTTCAGACAAAGAAAGGATCTTTTGAAATTATTGCCGTGACATATTCCAAGACGTTGATGAAGCTTCATGCGACGTGGGAAATTTTTTTTGCTTAAAGACAACGGAACATCTTAAGAATTACAGAAAGCAACATTTCTGGAAATGCCCTCAACCACCGAACAACTCGGGTATATAAAGGTCGTGTCAATAAAATCGAAAAAAAAAAAGTTCAACACCCTTCAACTGCTTGCAATACGTAAACCTCAACTGATTTGATTGATTGATCACCAGACCGCTGATGACTGACGACAATCAACAATGGCCGCCACGACGACTCCATCACTCGACAGTCGACACTCATCACCGCCTCTGATCCGCGTCGACGTCAGTGTCTTCGCTCACGTCCCTCAGGATTTCCAAGGTGTGTAAATCTTCCTCAACGTTATCGTCGTCGTGAACCCGAGATCCTCGTCTAACGACCTTCAAATTTGCGGGATCTTCAGTTACGCCTGACGCAGTGGAGGATCTTATGATTGTGCTGGGTTCTGTCACGTGTGGTGTCGACGTCGTTGCTGCCGCGTCTGTCGGTGGGTGGCCTGATGTGGTTTCAAGAGGTTCTCCGGAAGGTGACTGTGACCAGGGCGCATTTCGGCGAATTTTCATCACAGAAGAAGCGATCTGCGAGAAACGAAAATCTTATTCGCATTACACATTTACGTTCCATTTGGAAAGGTTTCCGGTTTCCGAATGCAAGATGAGAAACATCGTCTCCTGATTTCCCGATTCTACTTGAATTTCCGGAGCTCCTAATGTTTCATTCCTCGCGTCAGAATTTATCATCTTCAGATCTGTAGGACATCTAATGTGAGGAAACCAATTCATGAGGACCAAATGGATTCAAATGGAGCTTCACTCTATTTTTAACAACTATCGTTTTAATGCAATGCATTACTGTAATTATATTGGATAAATGGGAACGCTGAAAATAAAAACTCGCGATAATATGAAATTTCCATTCTATTGTTTTATATATACAGTGGACCCCCGCCTAACAGACTTCCTGCGTAAGGGATTTTTGCCTAACAGACCAGCTCTGCATGCAGTTTTTCCTCCTGCACAACAGACAAAATCCACCGAACAGACCTCTGTTGGTTTAAAATTAGTGTTGACAATTAAAAGCTTCAATTATTTATGGAATTGAATTTGTGTAAAGGGCTTCTTGTTGCAAAAATTAATTCCATTATACAGGGGTTGACTGTACTCTACATCACTTTTTTTCAATTTTCGCACTGGGATTACCAAGGCATATAAGAAACACAAGCCTTGGAAAAAATGTAGCCAAACTTTTTCCCACCTATCAGAAGTCTTCAACAGGAATACAGTATGTCGAAACTATTGGAATGACAGAAAACAAATGGATCTCGAGCAGACTCGTATTTTCAAGTAATTTCGAATGGTAAATATTTCGTTTCATGCTCCATACCATCCAAAAACAAGGGCTCAACAATTTTCAAAGTGAGATTAAAATTTCGTTGACAAATTTCTCTTGAAAAAAATAACGTTCAGCAAACCCTTGGCAAATTTCCTTGAAATCATTTAATCATAATCCTCCATGACTCAAGACTTATTGTTTGCTATAGAACCTCCCATAGTGGAATTTTCTCATCCTGGCATAGTGATGAACAATATGGCTACACTTTAGAGCACATGTGTTTCTAGAAAAAGAAACATCGTCTCCTGATTTCCCGATTCTACTTGAATTTCCGGAGCTCCTAATGTTTCATTCCTCGCGTCAGAATTTATCATCTTCAGATCTGTAGGACATCTAATGTGAGGAAACCAATTCATGAGTACCAAATGTATTTAAATGGAGGTTCACTCTATTTTTAACAACGATCGTTTAATGCAATTTATTACTGTATCTCAAAAAATGGGAACACTGAAAATAAAAACTCGCGATAACATTAAATTTCCATTCTATTGTTTAATATATACAGTGGACCCCCGCCTAACAGACTTCCTGCGTAAGGGATTTTTGCCTAACAGACCAGCTCTTTATGCAGTTTTTCCTCCTGCACAACAGACAAAATCCACCAAACAGACTTCTGTTGGTTTACAATTAGTGTTGACAATTAAAAGCTTCAATTATTTATATAATTGAATTTGTCTAAAGGGCTTTTTGTAGCAAAAATTAACTCCATTAGACAGGGGTTGACTGTACGCTACGTCACTTTTTTCAAGTTTCGCACTAGGATTTGCCAAGGCATATAAGAAACACAAGCCTCGGAAAAAATGTAGCCAAACTTTTTCACACCTATCAGAAGTCTTCAACACGAATACAGTATGTCGAAACTATTGGAATGACAGAAAACAAATGGATCTCGAGCAGACTCGTATTTTCAAGTAATTTCGAATGGTAAATATTTCGTTTAATGCTCCATACCATCCAAAAACAAGGGCTCAACAATTTTCAAAGTGAGATTAAAATTTCGTTGACAAATTTCTCTTGAAAAAAATAACGTTCAGCAAACCCTTGGCAAATTTCCTTGAAATCAAAATTAGTATTAGGAGGTACTGAGTTCTGAATAACAAACGATATCTTGGAGGGTATCACCTTAAAAGAGTAGGACCGTATCACTACTTGTTATACCGATGTGAAATCTCGTGTACACAAAGATCTTTTCGAAGAAAAACGGCGCAAATTATTAGCATAATAATTTCCCCGGGAACTCAGTTATCAAGCAATTTTCTGCACACGGGAATTTTATGGATAATACAGTACTTTTATCAATCACGCCAGAAAGGGAATTTTCCTTGAACCTCCAACAATCCAACATAATTGAGGCAAAATTCCCTAATTCATAAACTATACCCAATAAAAAAATTTTGAATCCCTTTTTAAAATTTGAATTGGAGAAAGGTGCAGTAATTGAATTGAACCATGAGATGGACTCCCTCTACAACGATCTTGTCTACGACAATTTTCTCTGTATGACGAATTCCTTATAGGATTCCTCTCCTCTATTCTACACATGCATTCTAAACAACTAAATTCTCTCTAAAAAAAAATATTCCGGCCCCTCGAATTTCGTAGTAGAGAGAGAGAGCATTTTTCGGACATACCTGAACCCATTCGTGGGCTTGTCGCAGCATGGTCCAGGACGGCCACAGCTTGGACGGTAACTGCAACTGCATGACTGTTACGCTCATGGTGGTTGGTGGAACCATCATCACCCGCGTTACCCACGACCTCCGCAGTAACAGGTGCAGTGGCGTGCTGAATCGCATGCCCGAATGGTAGCCCAGGGAGTCGCTGAGGTTGCCCGAGAACCCGGACACGTGGAGACGGAACCCGTCGGATTCCGCACCCACGTGGAACCCGGCATAGTCCGCGACGAAGAAGTTCCCGTCCACGTCGATAATTTCAAAGCGGAGAGAGTAGTTGGCCTGGTTCGTCAACTCGTGCAAGGCAGCGTTTCCTAGCCAAAAGTCGCCTTAAAAGAAGAAGAAGAATCGACCTCGATTTATATATTTTTTGGCATTGACATTATTTGAACCGCAGAATTTTGAAATGTCTACATATATGTCTATTATATACCAGTAATTGGATTTTTCGACATAGAAAAAGTTATTGCTGAGAATTCATAAGGCTAGAATTTACTCTCTGGGATATTTGCATCAATTTACGCCTCATGAAAGGTTCCAACAAAATTTTGATACATTTCTGCAACAGCAGCAGAAATTCAATGCAACATCTGACGAATTCATCGCGCTTCGAAAATTATAATCAAATAATGCCCAATACCAGATTGCCAATTTTTAAAAGCGCCATATTTTGCTCGGATCAGCACTAGGAACTAATAAAACTCCTGTATTTTTCATCTGAGAAACAGGAATTATTATGAAGTGGGAAGAGGTAAAACGGTATATTTTTCATAATTTCCTGGATGGTCTTTTGAGTCTTGACAATTCCTGATTTATGTTTAAACGCTATTCTGGTTGAAAGCTCCACGTTTTTTTGTTTTGTTTGAACTTTGCAAACAGTTTCGACAAATTTCGGCTGGATATTTTGATAAATACAATAGCGTTT